CCTTCACCTTAGCTGACACTCTTCTATCACAGATCACTCCTGACACTTTTCTCCAGCTGTTCCATCCTGCCTGTACTCTATTCTTCACCTCTCTTCCACAGTCTCCTCTGCTCTGTCAAGTTAATGTCAGTTAATTGTAATTATTATTTAAATTATTGGTTTTTATTTAAAAATACAAAATAATACTTTTTTTTACTTTGTTTTATTATGTACTGACTAAAATTATAGCAAATTCCAAAATACTTTTTTTAAATTGCAAGGTTAAACTGAATGTTATTTGCTGTGCAGTTGTAATTTCTTCAATTCTCCCTACAGTTATAAATGTTGCTGTGATTTCCACTGGAACTTTGCTTGTTTTGTGCTTCTTGATTGCCGTCGCCAGATGGACATGCGTCTCCAAAAACAAAGGTAGACAGTTACATTTAAAGCTACAGGAGCAGACCAAAATGCAGTGTCTTAGTGATTTTTGATTTTAATGTCTCATGTTTTGATATAATCTATAAGTAAAACATTAGTTTAAAAAAAAGTACATTTTCATCTACTAAAAGACAGAGGGTCTTTCAGATACCGTATATAATCAGCATAAACAGACTGTTCTGTGCTCCCATTTTCAGTTCTCATGACTTCTTTGTCCGACCTTGAAACTGCTACATTCTTTGTGCTGGTCCGACCTTGACATTTATCTCTCTACGACACTCTTTTCACAGTGTATCCTTCGTCATTTCTCCCTATTTTTTCATTTTCAAGTTCATTTTTTAATAAATGACAAATAACATTATGTTTCACCAGGTAACCAACAAGTCTCCACTTTTAACAGCAGTCCCTCACCACTGTGTTCCTGCCAAACAACTGAACCCTCAGACGTTGACATAGGTGACATTGAGCTACAGCAGGTAAGCCTCTCTTTAGTCAGCATATATAATTCATTATTTAATGAATGGAATTATGATTAGAGAAATGAGTGCCACTGTTAGCATATAATGGAATTATGATTAGAGAAATGAGTGCTACTGTTATATATATTCCCTTTTTAGATTCTTGGTCATGGGAGTTTCTCGACGATATGGCAGGGGAAATACCAAGGATCCACAGTGGCTGTGAAAGTCTTACCTGCAGCATGGAAACAGAAGTTTACTGCGGAGAAGGAGGTTTATGAGCTACCACTGATGAAGCATGCTGGGATCCTGCACTTTCTGGGCACAGGAAGGAAGAAGGATGATGGCGGCTGGTTTATTGTTTTGCAGTCAGCCGAATGTGTGAGTGTCACAATTAAATTAAATCACAAAAGCCTGATCAGACTGGGTTAGCGTGATCCATCCTGGCTAAAGTAGGCAGCATGCTACCTAACTGGTGGAACTTGAATTGAACTTCCTTGCAGAAGCAGAAAAATGCAGGCCCCCGGTGACAATTCATAAAAAGTAACATCCTTCCATCCATGATAGAATGAATAATCACACTCATTAATAAATGTTCTTTTGGTGTTCTTCCTATTTTAGGGTTCTCTCTGTTCTTTCCTGCGCGAACGCGCTCTCAACTGGATGCAGTCGCTGAAGATGTGCCGTTCTTTATCGCAGGGGCTTTCCTATCTTCACTCTGACCTTCACAGACTTGGTACTGGCCGCAAACACCGCTGTGGATAACATCTGCATTTTGGTGTTGCATTGACCTGGAAACAGTATTACAGCAGTTGCACTGTTAGTGTCTGTTTGTCTACGCCGACCCCTAATGGTAAACACATGTACTATACATGTCCTACGGGGCTTAGTGGTTAAGGAGGCAGATTTGGGTCCGGAGGGTTTCAGGTTAGAGTCCGCCAGCTGCTCTCTTTGGTGACGGGTTAAAAGCAGAGGTCACATTTGGTTGTGTCACAATGACAAATAATTCACTTTCACTTTGCAGATATGCACAAGCCCCCGGTGGCCCACCGAGACCTCAGCAGCTCCAATGTACTGGTGAAGGCTGATGGTACCTGTGTCCTGTGTGATTTTGGAAGTTCCACAATCCTGCGTTCCTGTTCTGGACGTCCAAATGACCTCACAACCGTGATGGTGAGAACGGCAAAACAGAAAAAAAAAAAAAAAAGAATTAAAACAATTGTTTTATACTGCAGAGGCTCACTTATTTTTGTCCCCTGCCAGGGTCAGTGGCAGTTGGGGACGCTGTGCTACATGGCCCCTGAGATCCTGGAGGGTGCTGTCAACCTACACAGCCTGTGCTCTCTAAAGCAGGGGGACATTTATGCTCTGGGACTGCTGCTGTGGGAGATCTGGATGCGCTGTTCAGATTTATTCGATGGTAAAATGAGTTTCTGTCTTACTGGGGGAAAAAGGGTAAACAGAGAAGTAAATCTGAAATAACAATGAAATGCAATTACCTTTATTTCCTTTTATTACTTTTAAATGAACCCAATGCTATATCTCCATATGCACAAATGGAAATACAGCCCATCTGTGTAAAATTACTTGGATATATGGTCTGAAAATTAACAATGGCCCAGGGGAAAACACCAAAAATCTACCATCTGTAAGTCAGCAGTCATAAAAAAGTTACAATGTTTGATAAATATTCCCCTAATAACAACATAGAAATTTCAAAAGATGCTAGGATGCAGCGACAAAATCATTTAAAGGTCAATTTAAATATCAATTGTTAACTCACTCAGTTTACTGCAGATTTGACATCCAACGCTGACGTTTAATATTCCTTTGTCTCCGTCTACAGGTCATACTGTTCCACAACATCGCCTGCCTTATGAATCTGAGCTTGAGGGAAATGTAACTCTGGAAAGCCTCATCATGTATGTGATCAACTCAGTCAGGAGACCCAGTATACCTAACCACTGGAAGCTGCTGCCACAGGTACCGTCATAGGGACAAAAACGTTTTGCATCTGAGATTGAGTAACATTTACTAAAGACCATTCAAAACTTTCAGGGATCTGCGTTGGTGGAGCTCCTGACAGACTGCTGGGACTTTGACCCAGATGCTCGACTGACAGCTCAGTGTGTTGTAGACAGATTAGATTCTCTTGGGTCTGCCGTGACTCCTTTACTCTTGCATGAACGAATGTTTAAATGATTAAATGATTTCTTTTTTTTACTTTGTTCGTAAAAACATTCATGCATTTTCTTGCCGTGACTCCTTTACTCTTGCATGAAAGAATGTTTAAATGATTTCTTTTTTTACTTTGTTCGTAAAAACATTAATGTATTTCCTTTGTGTAGAGCAGAGGTTCTCAAACTTGAACGTGTCTCTGTCTATCCACATAACACCAGTATGGCAAACATTCAAATACAGCAGCACAAAACTACACCACAGCTGAGCACCGAACACAAAAGAGAATCTATTCGTAATTGGACTAATTAAGAATAAAAAAAACAACCACCATCCAAATACATAGTGAACAATTATATAGTTAACACTCACACAAGAAGAATTTGCAAACAAAGTACTTTATGTAACAGTTGTTTTTAACCACTTTGTGAGTCAGATTCCCCCGCGAACCACTAGAGGGACCCAAGTACGAGTGTTAAGTATATCATGCTTGAGAACTACGTAGATAGATAGATAGATAGATGATAAATGACTGTGTTGTTGTTGGTTTTTTTTTTGTTGTTGTTTGTTTTTTTCCAAGCACAGACTTTCTACTCGATGATCTGAAACTATGTATTTTTTTTTTTGGGCGGGGGGGTTGGTTTATAATATATATATATACAAAATTAAGATATCTTTTTTTTACCACATAGCACTAGTGACAGTCTTACTCAAAATTAATTAACAGACTTTGAGAATTGATTAGTAGCATTGAATGGTTCTTTTGTCCCTTTGGAGAAACACATTCTTACACAGGGAAAGACCTGTAATGGTTACGTAATGGAAGTATTATAATTACTAGTTCACAGCAGCAGGCTGGATTCGTTTTTACTGTGACTAGTCATAGTGCCAGAAAGAAACGTTACATTCACGTGCTACAAACTGTCGCACCTGAAGTGGACATTGATTGGCTGTCATTGTGTTTGGGCTTGTTTAGCATAACCTGATAGGCTCCCAGTGTACGAGTGAAGAGCGGTGAGATGAGATGAGATGAGATGTGAAAATGGAGGAGCGTGTGAGAGTTGTCCGTCTAATGAACGGGAAATTTACATTTCAAAAACGTCCCGATGGCACCACCGATAAAGGTAGAGTGATATGCCTTCTTTGTGAGAAGGAATTTGCTTACCAACGCAACGCACCCAGTTGCGAGTGCAGCCGCAGCTAACGTTAGCAAGTTTGCTCTCCAAACTAAACTCGAGGAGAACAACCCGAGTATGAGCAAGTCTGCGACCGACAGGCTGACGAAAGTTCTGGCCAAGTGGATAGCGATAAACATAGTGGAAGACGACGGGTTAACAGAGGTCATACACGCCACGGTGCAGGACTACAGTGACGTCCAGATGTACAATGGCGAAAAGAAAAACAAACAGCAATATTCCCTCCACGGTGGTCGTAATTAAGAGACCAGTCTCAAATACAGTGGAATGTAAATGACTACGACTGCATCTGTTCGTCTGTTAAAAACAATAAATGACTTTATGAAGCCATTTTTTGTTGTATATCAATCTTTTGATCTGACCCAATAATGAAATGAATTTAAATGAAAATACCTCAATTTGAGGGGTTTTCTATTTAGGTGAGATTTAAAAAATAGATTAATTAAATCAATCAATTATAGATCATAATCTTTCATCTTTTTAACCTATTGACGCACATATATATAATTTAAAATATATATCTTCAATAAATGTTATGACTTTAATCAAGCAAGAAATGTAGATTAATGAAAGCAAATGATGTCTAGAAATGGAAAGTGTGTGCAGGCAGCAGGGAGTGAGTGAGGCTTCCATGGGACTCTTTCTATCAAATTAAAACAGTTCATGTTGATGCATGATGTCACCCAGTCAGTCCTGTCTGTCAGTGGAAAAAAAAGTTGGTTGTTTTGGCACTGAAAAAAAAAAAGCCTGCAGGAATGTTGCTTGTACGGAAACGGTGAGCACACAGAACAACAACGGGCGAGGCCCCTGTGATCATCATTCCATCTCAGTTACATGAGGAAATAAAGAGCAGGCAAAGGTGAATGCTCGACTAACTCACTAACAACTTCTAAGGTAAGTCCACAAAATAAATGGTTTGTGACTGAATTGGGGGAATATGGACGCTGATAAACAAAGCTTAGACACTTAATAAATACTAGGTCATATTTAAGGTGGACTTTTTATGTCGTATAGGTTTAATGTATATCAGTACAGAATTATTAGGGTCATGTTTTATGTACAAATATGTGTTAAAGGTGGAATATTACTCTCTCACTACGTATACATGTCTTTTGATAAGATAAGAGTGCATTTGGTGTCAGATTTTACAATTATATTACCAACATCACAGTACATAGGAGGAAATAAACAAATGGGTGGGGCCACTTGACTGATTCACCTTCATTTTATACACTAACAGCCTAAAGCTGTTTTTCTAAAATTCCCAGGTTTGCTGAAGTGTCCGTCGATCGAATAACAACATTTGAGTATGTGGCCGAATCAAGGTAAAGTATTCAGAAACAACCATACATACATCGTTTTATGTGATTTCTGAAAAGTAATGTGTGCGTATGTGTTCTTCAGGACCTTATCCGTCAAACCCCGCCTACCCTCCTAACTACAATCCCGCATGTCCTGCCGGACCTTCTCCAGGAGTTTTTCCCTACTCCACAAACCCGGCATACATGCCTGGGCAGTACCCAGCCGTTCCACCTAATGTACCTCATGGTGCCATGCCTTACCGTGCTCCTGGACCTTATCCTTATCCTGCAGCTCCATGTCAACTTCCATGTGGCCCTTCTGCAGGTGTTCACCCAGGTCAATATCCCCGCTCTCCAAAAGCGGGCCACCAAAAAGGTCATCACAAAGAGCACCATCATGGAGGTATGAATGCCACGGCTGGGCTACTGCCTGGAGGAATGATGGGGATGGGAATGGGAATGGGAATGGGAATGGGAATGGGACCGGGAATGGGAATGAAACAGGGGAAAAAGATGAAGAAGGGAAAGAAAGGGCACAAAGGCGACGAATGGGAATAAGAACATGGACATGGATATGGACATGGACATGGATATGGACATGGGAAACACAAAAGTGGAAAGGTAATGCTGGATTTAAATTTTAAATACACCAAACGTGAAATAACATGTCTTTTTCATGAAATGTTTCAGGTGTAAGAATGCAGTCTGAACTATGGTCTCATAAATGTTTATTTGTTCTTTTTCCCAGTCATCCAGCAGCAGCAGCAGTAGCAGCAGCAGCAGTAGCAGTTCAGACTAAAAACAGCAGCCCAAGAAACGTTCTTTGTTTTATTTTTTTAATCTTGTATTGATTATTAATAAAAATGAATAAAGTTATGTATATTTTTAGCATAAAACCACAAAGACAATCTAGAATATCACACATATTTTATTCTCTTTTATTTTAAACATGTCTAACAGCTTTATCATTTAGTACAAATGAGCTTGGTTTTTCCAACGAGGAGTGAATGCTATTTTGTCACCCTGCCAGAACATACGACACCTAATTCTAGCAATGCTTCGTTCGTCATCTGCATACTTGTAAACGCCACAGTGTACTAAACGTGTCCTTCTCCCCTTTTTGACACAAGAAATCAAAAAATATTTTGACATTTCTGGATGGGCTCAAACTTCCTAATCATAGATTCCAGACAGTATTGTAAGATTTATCTACTGCAATTCTATGTATTATGAATGGTAGTCCACGATGTGCAACGTAACAAGTAAAGGAAAATAAATTAATTAAAATTTTCTGTTAGTGATATATGTGGAATTACACACGTTTGGATATGGATGTGTGTCAAGACGGTGTTTATTTACTGTAGGTCAGCAGTTGGACCTGACCCCTGCTACCTGCCTTCAAAATAAATAAAGAAAATTGTCTTTATTCCTGAACTTTATATCTGTACATTTGAATTTTAAATAATTTTATTGCAATTAATGTATTTTTTCTACATACATAACTCCATAAAATATATAGTTTATTTAGTTTTGGATTGATATAAATTAGTTAACTGTTGTCTTTCTCGTGACTGCAGAAAAAATTATTGTGATTATAAATAAGCTTATATGTTTAACTGTCGTATTAAATGTATGGTACTTCACTTGGTTTTTTTACCATTAAAAAAACAGATCGTTAATAGTTAAACATTTAGAGTTCCGATTATGCCCGCTAGTGGCCATAAAAATATTTATCTTTATTTTTATCTCTATTATTATTTGTAAATACAAACTCGATTGTAAATTAAGTATTAATTCGATCATTCTTGATTAAATATGTCAAACGCGTATTCTAGTTGTTATTTCTGACTGTGTGTAATCGCTGTTTCAAAGAATTGCCACTCTGTTGCTATTTTTTTTAAATACTTTTTTTAAAAATTATAAAATGCATTTAAAACCGGGTACAAGTCAAATAATCAATATTTTACGAAAGGGGCGTGATTTCGAGGCTCTTTCGGGTCATATCCGTGGGGGTGTTAAGGCTAGGTGAAAGGGTAAAGTTCAGAGGTGACGATAGTGTTGTCTTTGTGTAAAAGAGTGGAGCTCGATCTCACATCACTCTTCCCCGTTCCCGAGTCCTCTTTAAACTCTTCCCCGGGTTTCTTCCCTCCCGAACCTCTCCCCTTCTACCCTTACAACCCCGACCCTTCCCCCAGTTACACTTCAGCGCAGGATCCAGGTAAGAACATTCAAATGTTTAGCGATTTTTCTTAAAATTAAATGTTGTTTTGGTCCGAAGTAGCGGACAGAAATCGCGCCCTGCGGCTAGCGTCGGAAAGCTAATGCTAACAGGCCGCACTGCGTTGAGCACGCAGTCTAAACATAGGAAAAGTTACATTTTATTTTCGAATTTTAAACACTGATCTTTTCTACTAAATGTATTTTCTCTATCCTAATATGAATAAACTACAACATAGAACAAGGTTCGTCATTTTATACGATAATTAAGAGCTCACGGAGTAGCTAGTAATGCTAGTACGCGCACGCATGCTCCATTCATTTCCTAGCAGGTCAGCAACAAAATGCTAACAAATATCGGAGTGGAAACATGGGTAAACCGGTTAAATGAGCAAAGTTTAAGCAGACTAACAAGTGTTATTGAAACAATTACATATCTCCAGGGCTTCGCGAAGTCGTTTAGGGTTATTTCAACAAATATAGTAACTCTGACCATTTCTGAGTGACTGTGGACTACAAGGGCAGCGTTAACACACAGGCCGATAAATTCAAGTAAGAACCAATGTGTTTTCAGCGCTTTTGCAAGTGTCTAAGTCTGAGAACTTGGTCGAAGAATGGCTTATACTCTGAAAAATTGTAAGCACGCCATTTTGTGTCGTTTTGAACCAGTTTACATAGGCACTGACCGCGACATTGGCTTCTCGTCGCGCAGATACGTATCGTGCGCCTGTTAAATTTGTTTAATTGTCAAATAAATTGCACGCGAAAGGCAACGAACTTTACGTATAATTTTGGAATTGTGCCATCTAATGTTGCACATGTGGACAACCGAGTGTGATGTAGTATTGTATAACCGAAGTTTTCAATATTAGAAAGCTACAAACCCCACAAATGAATGGCATATAAATATACGCTAGCTAAGCAATTCTTAGTATCAGGATTTTCTGGTCACAAATTAAACTTGCTTCGATTCCTTTGGCAATGTCTCTCACGTTTTATTAAGTTTTATTGTCGACATTTTACCTGACTATACTTGGTATAATTGTCGACATTTTACCTGACTATACTTATGGTATAGTAAAACTAATATACAGTCTTCGTTATTTTGTTTTCACGTAAATATTCCAATTGTGCCAGTCTAACACTTTTTTGTATTTCTCGTTTATTTAGAGTCAGTAGTCTCTCATCACGTGTTTATTCTTGTATAAAATGCATTGCCCACTGTGTGTGTGTCCCTCTTTAGGTCCATCGCAAGAAACGTGACCCAGTCTTAGAGGCACAAATTGTTTGCAGTGATGGACTCCGGTGTGATTGAAGGAGGACTCAATGTCACCCTTACTATTAGGCTGCTCATGCATGGCAAGGTGAGGATACATATCAGTCACTTACCAGTCTATGGCATATTTATAGAAATGTAATCTAGTGGATGTGAAAGGACGAGGACTTGGTTTAGGGTGTAATGGTATGGGTCAGGGTTATAGAGTCCTATAATTCAAACAAAACAAATGAAATTTGGGGCTCAATTTCTGACAATGTGAATCGCCATAAGATTATTAAAGATCTACAGATTACTTAGTTACCTCCTCGGTGTTTCTAATCTTAAACTACTTACATTCACCCTTTTTTGGAATAGTTTTTCTGAGTATGCATTTTTTGCTAGGTAGTGTGCGTCCCCTTAAACTTGATGTTAGAGTACTTGGTTATCGTATGATTAGGCCTAATCAGTACATTTTTTTCTTTCTTTTTTAACAGGAAGTTGGAAGTATTATTGGAAAGGTAAGTTAACTCCTGACTCCATTTCATTATTTGTAAAATACAAAAAAAAACTATGTAATGAAAGTAACGTGCTTAAATTTTTATAGATATTAACTAATAGTTACCTCTTATGTGCTCCTCTGCCAATAGAAAGGTGAATCGGTGAAGAAGATGAGAGAAGAGGTGAGGGTCTGTCTGTTTGCAGACATGTTGTACTGAAACCTACTGAAGACAACAATGATAATTTAATGCCATTGAGCCCATTAATAGAATAAAGAATATTTGTTATAAACGGCTGAATTTTATTCAAAATATTGATTGCTTTTGTAAACAGAGTGGGGCTCGCATCAACATCTCTGAGGGAAATTGTCCTGAAAGGATCATTACATTGGCAGGTCCAACTACGGCCATATTTAAAGCCTTCTCAATGATTATTGAAAAGCTGGAAGAGGTAGGTCATGACCTCCAATGTCAACAGCTGATGGACCATCAGTAACAAACCTAACTAATCTAATTTTGACACCTTCTCAATGATTATTGAAAAGCTGGAGGAGGTAGGTCACGACCTGCAATGTCAACAGCTGATGGACCGTCCGTAACAAACCTAACTGATCTAATTTTGACCCTTTGCCAGGACATAAGCAGCTCGATGACGAACAGCACAGCTACCAGCAAGCCCCCTGTGACTCTACGCATCGTGGTGCCCGCTAGCCAGTGTGGCTCCCTCATCGGGAAAGGTGGCTGCAAAATCAAAGAAATTCGAGAGGTAGGCAAATAGAATAATACGTAGATAAAAATCTACGGAACAATTTTGTGCAAGATTTTCTGACCGTACACATGATTTTATTAATATTAATATATTTTCCATTAATTTCACGTGTCAGTCAACTGGTGCTCAGGTACAAGTGGCAGGAGACATGCTTCCTAACTCAACAGAGCGTGCCATCACCATTGCGGGCACTCCCCAGTCCATAATTGAGTGTGTGAAGCAGATCTGTGTGGTCATGCTTGAGGTAAGAAAACATAAAACGGTGAAACAAATGTAGCAGAATATCAATACTGTGAAGTAATTATGGGAAATACTGTGTTTTTTTTGTGTTTAGTGTGTATGTATGTTAGTGTGTATGTATGTATATATGTGTGTATGTATGTATGTATATATGTGTATATATATATATATACATACTCTGTGCCTGGAACACATCTAAATAAATAGTAGAGAAGCAAAGCAAGGAAGTGTTTGTGTGGCATATGTGCTTCCTTAGAAGGTAGGTAGGCAGGTGAAGGAAGGATATTGACGGATAGTGAGATAAAAGTCCATTAATTCTAGTTAATGGTCACTAATTTTTGTGATAGTATCTTAAAATTGTGTTTTCATAGTGTAGCGTTTAGCACAACTGCCTTGCAAGCTGGGTTTAATTCCCAGAAGAACCACACATCTCGACTGGGACCTCCCATTTGGCAGTGAAAGGCATATTGAAAATGTCCTTATTGTGGGAAGAATAAGGGACTCAATTATTATTATTATTATTATTAAAATCCAGCAGTTCTGTTTTTGTTTGTTTTGTTTTTTTTTAAATATGACTGGTTAATGCATTTATTTACTTTGTCTTTCTTACAGTCTCCCCCTAAAGGGGTCACCATCCCCTACAGACCCAAGCCATCAGGATCCCCAGTCATTTTTGCAGGCGGACAGGTACTAACAACATTTTTAGAGTGAGACATATGTCAAAACTGTGAAACTCTGGTTTTATATTTTTTAATCATTACTTCTCAGGCAAACAGTTAAAACAGTAGCTGTTAAACATACCAGATTCAACCATGTATGTCTCGACTGTAATATTGTATTTATGTTCAGACTCTTCCAGTATCTTTTGTGGTAAGTACCATGTAGATGAAGCTTATAAAAATATTTGGATCTTTGGATCACTCAAAGATTACTACAGTTTATTACCTGTTTGTTTGAGGGTCATTTTTTCTTTATTTTTCGGAACACTTTCTATGTGCAGTAGCCTCTTTCCTGCTGTTTTTTTTCTAAACGAATGCTTGCTGATGCTTGTTGGCTTAACAATGTGTCTAACTAATTACCTTTTTTTTTTACTCCCTGGAACACAATCTCTCTGATTTTCCTGAATTATGCTGCAGCTTCTCTCTGAAGACTTCTTTTTTTATTTTAGAAATGTGGAGATTTTGGACAAGACATGTTGATAGTCCCTCTACTGTTTTGTTTTATTTAGACTAGCTTGGGTGAGATTGTGTTGTATATTTATAAGAGGGTGTAGGTGGAGAAGCAGCCAGCGCAACAAAGTCAGCTGTAAGGTCTGTGAAAGCTTTGTTTTCATTTGTTTCAGGCATATGCCGTACAAGGACAGCACGCGATTCCACAACCAGATGTAAGTGCAGTAGACATTTTAACGTGATCTCCCCCTCCTCCTCCATCACCTCCCCACGCATTATAACTGCCCCTTTCCAAAGTGAAAAACTGCCCCCCCCTCCACTCCTGCTCATTTTACCGACTGTCGCATACACCTAACCCCAAAATTGTGCTTCGAATTAATCATTGATTTTCCTTTTTGTCATTAAAAAGAAATGCTATAAGTAATGAATGTTTGTGTAGGTCCATGGGTGACATGCTGACAGTTTTCGTGTTATGAAACGGACATTTGTTGTTTGTTTGTCCAGATTCTCCACTCTCCATTGTTCCATGAATAATAATGTGTTCCTGCTGGTTTTCTCTCTTCTGTTCTGTTCTAGTCCCATCTTTTGTTCCAGTTAAACTTGTTCGCTCTCGTCTTTAATAACCAGTTATTATTATTATTATTATTATCATTCTTTGCCCTGCCTGCTTGCCTCTTCAGTCTTTTATCTCTTGTTTTATAAGTGCACTGTGGGAACATGGGGGGAAAAAATGTTTGGCTACTAGTTCTTTATCATTTTTTATGCAGTGTCATGTAGTTTTATAGGGAGTAAAATAAAGGAAGGTCCTTGAAGGAACTTATTGAAATTCATGGATATAGGGAGAGAGCAAATGGCAAGGAATATGACAGTTTAAAAAAAAAAGAGAGCAAATGGCAAGGAATATGACAGTTAAAAAAAAAGTTTAAGGTGAGGGGGCAGCCAGCTAGCACCCTTCCTTGTATGGAGTCTGATTTTTTTTTTTGAATTTTTTTCCCTTGAGAGAATGAAGAGATACTGATTGGAGGAATATCTCTGAGGTCACACTAGTTATTAGAACACTACTGATGTAATGACACGTTTGCAAAACCAAGAAACGCCTTTTATGTTGAATGTAAAATTAACAGATGTCCTGGTAACATTAATTTTTTAATGTCCCTTGTGCCTCCGTTTGTACTGACAGTGATATTTGTTTTTGTGTTCCTGTTTTTCCCCTCTTCCTGTGTTTTCCATTTCCTCCGTTTCTCTCCCTGCCTCCTCTCTTATTCTCAGTCTTCCTCTGCTGCCATCTCTCCACAGCTCACCAAACTTCACCAACTGGCTATGCAGCAGACTCCTTTCCCCATTGCACCAAGTAACCAGGGATTTGCCGGTATGCAGTTCTTACAATGCTTTCCTGGACCGTTGAGTGTTTATGATGACGTGTGAATTCAATGTATGACAAAGCACCGTAAATTCAGGACGACGACTTGTGCATACAACTATAAAACCTGTGGCCTTAAAATGTGTTTTGGTGCTCGGATGTTAACTGAAGTTTCAACATCTGTTTCTGTTTTCATGCTAACACATTGCCTTTGGAACAGAATTCATTTTTCTTTCTGTATTTTAGGGATAGATGCTTCTGCACAAACCGGCTGCCAGGAGATGACCATTCCAAACGATGTAAGTGCATTTGAAATAGAAGAAAATCACAACTTAAGTGGCAATTTACCAAACCAGATATGGGTTAGAGTTACTGATTTTGTTGTCCAGGAACTGTCGATGTTTCCCAATCCTGAACTTTCTTCCCTCTTATGTCGTAGCTTATTGGGTGTATCATTGGACGCCAGGGAGCCAAGATCAGTGAGATCAGGCAAATGTCAGGCGCTCAGATCAAGATTGCAAATCCAGTGGATGGATGCACCAATCGTCAGGTTACCATCACAGGCTCACCTGCCAGCATCAGCCTGGCAGAGTACCTCATCAACGCAAGGTGAGACCATCACTCGTGTTACTTGTGTATTAGCTCCCATTAGGTAAACGTTCACTATTGAGTTCACAAATGTTTTAAAAAGGAATTCAACTCAGTTACAGAGCATATGAAAAGAATTACTGTTGTGTTTTTTTTTTTTTTTTTTTTTAAATCCTTTACCTCCTAAAATTACCTCCTAAAAATCCTGCCCTGCTTCCCTCCGTCCCTCCCTGGTGTGCTGTGATGTTGCATTTACATTCCCCAGTCTCAGTATTACAGTCCCAAACAAAGTACAATTTGTTGGTATTTGGTAATACATAAATGCCCCCGAGGGGAAAATTCCAATTATATATATACTTCCTTTTTAATACATTTAACATGGCTCCACCTGAGATCTGATTTATTTGACTAATCCTTTACCTAACCGACTTTATTAAGTCTCATATCCAAGTTTTTGTCTTGTTTTAATTTCATCCCTGAATGACCCCATCCCCCCCCCCACACACAGCCCCATCACTCTTTTTACATGTAACGTCCTCCCGCTCATTGTTCACCAGCCTGCCCTGTGACCCATCCCGACTGTGTTGTCCCTCTCCTTGTCTCTCTTTCTACAGTGTTGAGTCCTCTAAACCTCCTCCTTCCTCCTCCTCCTCCTTGAACCCTGAACAGACCAGCCTGTGCCCTCCCTCCACCTCTACTACTACCAATACTACTCCTGCTTCTACTACTACTGACACCACCACCGCTACATCCTCCTTCTCCTCTTCCTCCTCTTCCTCCTCCTGTGTGGTAACCCCCTCAGCCTCCATTCCACTGTCCTTGTTGGCTCAAGGGCCATCTCCTCCCTCCTCCTCCTCCTCCTCCTCCACCGATTCCTTGCTCCCCAGCTCTCCTGCCTGTGTGTCGAGTCTCCTAAGTCTCAAGCCCCTCCCTCTCCTGGCCCTCCATGTTGTCAGCACCTCCAACCCTGCGCACCCAATTCCCACCGAGCCAAAAATCACCCCAGAGCTCGTCTCCAAGTCTAAGAGGCGAAGGCTCTCCCCTTACTACTCAAGGAAGCAAAAAAAAAAAAAAAAAAAAGTCAACTCCTACTAAAGTACTGACAATGTCCTGTTGTCTGTACCTGCACTCGCTCGTGATCTGGCTGTGCCGTGCCACGCTTAAAACACACACACAAACAAATGCAAACACAACAAGAGATACAAAGCCAGAGGTGTGGTGGGAGAGGGGGCTGCTGCCATATTTATAGAATATACATCTGTAGCTTGACCTGTTCTTAGGAAAAGAAAAAAAAAAAAACACCCCATTGTTTCGGTGGATGATATTTTAAAAATCTCTTTGAACTTATTTAGCATGGCCAGTGAGATGTTTCACTGATTTACTGGAGTATTTTCTTCTATGTGAAAGCTCTGCTCAGGTAGCAGCTCTCTAAGATGTCAAATTGTATTTTAGGGTGTAGTTTCTCTTGTAGTGACTTTAAGTGACTAATGTTAGATATCAAAGTAGAAGGTATACATGTATGTGTTTAACTTTTTGTTTTTTTTTCTTCATGTTGGAAACTGTAATTTCATTTCCAACCATATGTGCCCTCAGGTAATAAAAGTACTACATTCATCCCTTTAGACTCTCTTTCTATCGAAGAACAAATTCAGACAAAAATAGATTTTTTTTTTTTTTTTTTTTTAACAGAACTAAACATTAGTGATCCTTATATTTGTTATTGTCATTAGTAAAAGAGCTTTTTTGTGTTTCCGCTGATAAATGGAATCATCCTTGTTAAGGACATTCTGAAGTTCACTAAGTTTTTGTATAAAGGCTAATCTAGCGTCAGTGGTCACTGCATACAACCAAAGGTACCATAATTAAAAACGTTCACTAACAGATTAAAAACACACGCTCTCCCCTTAGTTTTTTTTTTTTTTTTTTTTTTAGCACCTTGCAAAGCCTCATTCTGCCCAGAGTGTGGCAGTAAAGCCATATGTTTGGATTGGACTGAACCATTTGACCCTGTGTGCAGTTCATATCTGTCACCTACATTTTAGAGTTTGTTAGTGGAAGGGCAGAATCTTTGTTAGTTCAAGTGCATTACCAAACAGCTGACTTTGCTCTTTATCGGGTGCTGAGGTATTCCCTGGTGATGCTCATTGTTCTGTATGTAGCTGATCTAGAAGGTGCTCACCATTGTTGTACCAAATGAATTAAACGGCAAAGTTTATAAAAAAAAAAATTTTTTTTGATCCTTCATATTTGGTTCCGCACGGGAATCTTCACTTCTTGGTTTGTGTATTTACAAATGCAAACATACCAAATTACTTTAAAGGATAACATTTCTGAGTTCAGTTACTTCACCCGACCTACAGGAAACCAACTCACAGTACTTAGATTATCAGTTTAAAGTGTATTTAGGCGAATTAATCTACTCGTCTTTTTTTGTTTGTTTTTTTTTTTTTGTACAGCAACGATGTATCTTTTGCAAATAAACTTTTAAATGTGATGGTTATATTGTAATGTTAGGGTAACATAGTTGACATTTTATCTGTCTCATCGCTCGCCTTATTCTTTCTCCCTACCTGGTCTCCGGCCGTCTCTCCCTCCCCTCTCTCTCTCTCTCTCTCTGTCTCCAGGCTTTCCTCAGAGACCACTGGACTGGCAGCCAACTGATAAGGCAATGCATCTGCACTAAATCTCACTTTTATATCATCGGCTACCACAGAGAAGTCAATGCAACTACCCTACATAAGACTTTATAAATTATACCGTCTCTTCTTATTTTCAAATCATACCATATCTGCCATCAGTTTGATCTGCTGAGATCATTATTTATTTTCACATTGCCTTTTTCCCTTTTTGGTTGTAGTCAAGAGAAGCAGACAACTAGGTTCCAAATTCCCCCTGCCTAATGACATCTAAGGTTTTCCCGATTTGTTATAAGCCTTTTTTGTTTGTTTTTGATTTTGTTTTTTTTCTCGAATTGACCCCGTGACCCTCTTCCTTCTTTGCCGTCACAAAAAAGTATAGGCATAGAGATTTAGGTTTGTACAGTCAGTTATTTCTTTGAAAAGGAAAAAAAAAAAATAAAGGTATCAAAATATGAATAGAGTGACTGTTTTATTCTCTTTATATAATCCCCTTTTCTCACTCTGTCCTAGTCGGTCTGTCCACACTTAGTTGCTTACAATATACACTCCATTCACACCTTTTGTCACCTATACAACTAAAGTGCTTGTAATTGTAACATGGATTATGCTTGTGTCATTGAGAATATGTAGCTCTACGATCACTGTCACGGTTACATTTGGTTATGATGACAGGTATTTTGACTCTCAGATGAATTTGTCCCGATTATTGAATTTGTCCCATTTACATGTCATTCCTGTTTTCACCCCTCTCTCCTGGTCCTAAAACCATTTGTGGATATTTTGCTGGGATTGGGAGGTTTTTGGGGTTTGGGTTTTTCGGCTCAAGGGATCAGAAGCAGAGGGTTCTCCTCGCTTTCTTTTGTAAAGACTGATATATACTGAAAAAAAAAATGTTGGAATATTTGTTTTAAATGGAGAAAATATTTTTTTTAATCTACCAAAGGGGGGGGGGGGATCGACTCCTGGACACTGACTGACCTGTCTATTAAATGTGATGAGGCTGAGAAATTATATTTAAGCTCTGGAGCTCCACAAAGAGTCGTGAGTTAATACTACTTCCCTGCTCTTTGCTTTGCTCAGCTCAGAAATTATGTTATTTTCAATTTGCAGGACAGAAAAAACAACAACAACAACAAAAAAAAAAAAACCAACAACAACGATTTGCACGTTTTTTGAGACTGTAGACCTGGGTGCCACAACATTGTTTAAAAATTACAGAAATAAAGATGTGAATTGCTCAAACCACAAACTGTCTCCGCTCTTTCCAGCATTCAAAAATACAACATGGGATTGTTTTTCCAGGAATGGATTTATTGTTCTTCCTTTTTTTTTTTTTTTTTTTTACACCGTTTGAAATATATTTATTATACAATTACAATAATGCAGTATAAAATGCAAACATTTCACATACTGGGTTGTTTCTCAATAAGCATCATGGGGATCGGGAACACCTGCCTTCAAGACACTAGAGGGCAGTGTTTATGCTTTTTGGCAACACTTTACCAGTGAACGGATTTTTTAGCATTTGATCTTAGGGGGTGAGGGGGGTGAAAGAAAATAAGCTGCCATTGATTTAGCTTATGGATTGTTGACCTGTTCATTACATAGTAAATGTAAGGTAATTGTTGGACATCTTTATAAAATTGAAAAATAAAGTTCTTTATCTTGGGCAAGGATTTGAAGAGAGGACATGGCGACATGACTGTTTTCTGAGGCTACATATGATACTGGAATTTTTCCTGTTCTGTGCTCGTGTCCGTGTATTACAAATACCATTCAATGTCTTCACTTCCTTTGGTAGCTTTTCTATTGTACGCTTGGAATGTCAATCAGAGTCAGAAATAGAAAAAAAAAAACCCAAAAAAAACAATGTTGTTCATAGTACATACCCAGTGGCCAAGATGCTTAGAAAACAAACTCATATTGTGTTTTAATACAATTAACACTGCAATAATATTACCAACAACAAAAGCCTGTCTGCCTTAACGAACTCAAGTGCAGATCACTTTGACCTGTGATATGACATCGCTCTCCAACCAAGCAGACATATTGCTTTTTTTTTTAAACGTTCTGTTGTTTCTTCCCTCTCTCTCTCTCTCTCTCCCTCTCTCTCTGTTTAGATGCTCATGAACATGAACAGCAGCTACAGTACATTCTACAACCGTATGTCTTTTTCATTGGAATAGAATAGCTTCACCTACTTAGAAATGTCAGCACCTTTTAAATGTAACAATCTCACATCGTTTAAAAAAATTTGTTCATTGTACAGCGTTGCATATTTACATCAATATTAAAATGCGGATGTAGAAAATGGCAAACATAATCGAGTCACGAGTACGAATAAAAAAAAAAGATATATATATATAAACGATAGGTGAAAATGTAAACCTTGTTCTTTTTCGAAAAAAGTCATTTGGATTTGCTTTGAATAAATAAATTAGTGCAAAAAAAACGATCTCTCGCGGATGTGACACGAGGGTCTTGAGGAATTAGGACGATATATATATATAAAAAAAAGAATTAAGTGCATTTTTTCAGAATGAAGCCCCTGCTGGGGCATTAAAGACATGACACGTAAATAAATAAAACAAAGTAACATAAATTAAGGTGGAAAATGAAATGAAAAAAAAAACGTTTGTGTTGATGACCTTTGAGTCAGGCCCCTGCAGCTGAGGTGTTTAACGGTGTTTTCGGTACTCGGGGCAGTCGCAGTGGAAAGGATGGACGAAGCTTCTCCATCAGCTGGGCGTTTGTTCTGTACCGTGTGAGATCTTTCCTTCCTTCCTTCCTTCCTGACTCCCATCTCCCTGATTCGGCCTCGCTGCTCTCTGACATCTTGTGGAAGTGAGCAAAAGCATTGAGAACCCAGACCCTTGAGTGGGCCCGAGGTGTTGCTTTTTCACCAGTTGGTTGGGGGCTGGCTTGGCTCGGCGCTGCACGAGTGGTCAAGCTCGGTGCTGTCACAGTCTGAATCATCGTAAAGTCCCTGGATTGAAATGAAGGGAAACGAATTAGTTCCATTTTTTTTGGTCGACAGCAACAACGTATTTACCTTCGTACTCGAAATGCAACTTAATGTAAATATGTTTGGTTGACTTTTACTTGCAGTCAAAAGCTTTTAATGACAAAATGTCAAATGTTTGTTAGCGGAAAATTAGCACTCGGTAACCTTTGTACCCATGTCGCTAGGCAAATTTCCTGAATCTGAATTTGCTCTTGTGTTGTTTCTGGTTGTTTTTTTCCCGCTGGTTCTGGGATAAAGGGCAAGGTGATGTCTATTTCCGCCTTTTTACAACTCAAAACCCTAACCCTAAGCCTAACTCTAACCCTAACCCTAACTCTAACCCTAACTCTAACCCTAACCCTCAGTGCTGTTATCGTAGCGTAATATCCACCTACCCCGTAATTGTGATCGTTTGAAGCCAGCTGGCTCTTGACTTGTCGAAGGATGGCCTCCTTCTCGGACAGCCCGTCGGAGCACAGCTGGGTCGGGTCAGACGGGTCGGCGGGAATCTCTGAACCCTGAGACAGCAGGTCGTCGCTCTTGTCGTCCAGACGCTCGTCCGTGTTGGTGCTGACCACGTCTGGCGTGCCGCTGTGGGAGTGGTCGCTGGTGTTTCCCTCCTCGCCGTCTGAGACGGACAGGTTTTCTGAGCTGAACGTTGACAGCGACTGACATTTGGTCATGCTCATGGGACGCCTACGGGGGAGATAATGAACTGCATCAGTGACCTACCGGAACTTTTTTTGTTAGTTTGTTGTTCGTCAACAAGGAGGTTTCTGTTGAATCGAGAGCGTTGAATCCAACTGTCTTACCGTCTTCTCGGCAGCTCCACCTCGCTGTCCACTTCTCCCTCTTCCTCCTCTGAGGACAGACCTCGTCTCTGTGGACAATATTTGTGTTTTAGTATGAGAGACATTTTTTTTTTTAGGGAAGGATATTTGGGGAAGGATTACTCATCCTGAGCTAACATTTCTATGATCATCTGGTGACACATGTCGCTGATGACACACAATCCTGTCAGAGTTTTTTATTATTAGTGGTCATCAAACACCTTTTTTATGACCAGTCACCCTGCACTGGATGTTGCTGCCCCAGACTCACCTGGCTGCGTGTTACGGCTGCCCTGTAGAGCAGCGCTGCAGGTGTGAGACGCTGACTTCTGGGCGAGCGCGTCATCACCGTCCCTTCCTCCTTGTCCTCGCTGTCGTTGGGGACGCGGGTGATGCCGAGCACCGACGACCTCCCGGCGGCGGCTCCTCTCCCACACGGTGAATCGGGGCTGCTGGAGAACGGTATAGAAGCCGCATCTTCGCTGGGCGTTCCGCTGCGCGGAGGTGTCTCTGCTAGGTCGTCCGCCCCTACACCCACATCCGGCCCCTCCTCCGGTCCTACAGTCCTTACGCTTTCCTCCAGCCCGGCCGAGGCGCTCTGACTGCCCGCCCTGTCCAGGCCGGCCCTCACCTGCCCCTTCCTCCTGCCCTCAGCTTCCAGGGTGGTAGATATGAGATCGGGGCTGGAGGAGGACATCTTCTTTAGCAGCAGGTCATGCTGCAGGCCTCTCAGGGCCGCGCTGGGGTCCAGGTGGTTCTTGCTGCTGGGAACCGATGACGTGACGTTGACCATTGCTAAAGACGAGGAGAGAGTGGCCTTGAGTTGAGCCAAATCCCCACTGCTGCCTTTTCCAGCCTTCCTGTAGCGGGGTTTTCCTCGACGGGAGCGGCCAGGCGAGGTAGAGCCTTTGTTGGGGATGGTGACCTGGGTCATGGAAGAGTCCAGTTTGGGAAGGATGACTTCGGACTTTAATAGGTCCGGTCTGGACGGGAAAAAAACCTTCGGACTTTAATAGGTCCGGTCTGGATGGAACAAAGATAATACAATAGAAACATTATTTTCTCATTAATTGAACTAAAGGTTTTTCTCTTATTCATTTAATCGGGCTATAAAACGATTACAAATCTTCAATCCGACGAATCACGGTTGACCATGATAAATCGTGATCACTTACAATTAATCATAATTAATCATCCGTTACATGTATGTGTTTCCCCACATATATTTCACGTAAATATTTACACAAGTAGATGTCAAGACAAATATGCAAAAGTACAAGTACAAGCTACATCTTCGTGGCGTTTAGTTAGCTTGAGGCTAGCTTTCAGTCTCGCCGTCATTAGCCATTATCATGACCAGCGGTCCACAACCTCTTTTTAGTACCGAGAATCGGTCGACGGGTATCAGCTAGTACTGCGGACCGGTAATACCGCGTCATCGTTGAAGGATCATTACATTTTCTAAATAAAACGTCTTTTAGCCTTTATCCTGTTAGCATCCGAGTCTGAATGACCTGTTGTTGTGAAACATTGACAGAAAAAAAGTAAAGGGATATGAAGTTTGTGTCCCACTGCGGCCCGGTACCAAATGACCAACGGACCGGCACCGGTCCCCGCACCGGGGGTTGGGGACCCCTAATCTATAGCACAGGTGTCAAACTCTGACCTGCAGGCCAAATCTGACCCATGGTGTATATATATTGTGTATTAGAGTTGGCCGCTAACATTTGTAATATTAGCGGTATTAGCATTGTATTATTGCACATACATTTTGGTTTCACTTTCACTTTCACTTTCATTCATTTTATAACATTAAGCTTTGGTTGTTCCAGATTCAATGTTTTACGCAAAACATAAATATTGTGTTTGGCCCGCGACTCCGTCGCAGTTTTCAATTTCGACCCACCGTGTATGAACGTTCAACAAATGAACGAAAATGAATGAATGAGTCTCTCACCTCTTACTGTGCGACGGCAGCTTCTGAGGTACGTTGCGCTTCTTCATTAGTTTCTCCATGGAGTTGGACGAGGCCGACTGTCTGGAGCTGTGGTGCTTGAAGACGCCCGGGTATTTCTTGTCCAGCGACTGTTCCCTCCTGACGTTCAAACACATCAGACACATTAGTGAACACAGGGGAGAGCACTTGGACGCATGTCATCCTTCTGGGTGAGTGGGTGTAAAGGCAGTTCCGGGCTTTTCATACTTGTGCAGTTCTTTCTCTTTAATCTCCAGCTGCAGCATGATGGCATTAAGCTCCATGTACAGATTGTTGGCTCGTTCCAGTTTGCGCTCGTAGTGCTCCCGGATGTCCAGTGCGTGTCTGTTCAGAGACAGTTACAAAAAAAAAAAGCATAAAGATGTGAATACACAGAAAAACACGTTTATCTGCTTGGTTTTTGTTTTTTTCTTCTTTTTTTTGGTCAAACCTGAGTTCTTCTCTGCGTCGTTTGATCAGTTCCTCGTCCAGTCTGTGGAGACACGTGCCCTCAGACTTGATCTTTTCAAAGTGGTGCCTCACCTCGTCCCTCCACTCCACCTGAGACGGCAAAGACAAAGCAAAACCCATTGGCTCAGAGCTTTTGAACGTTCAAAAATCAGAGGCGTCGATTGGTTCTCGTTTATATGTCACAAAATACTACTGTGTAATTACAATAGGTTTTTCTTCGAGCTCCATCTGATTTTTATTTTCTTTTTTCTAATCTTTTATTTTCATGTATAAAGACACATTTAACATTTGTCTTAAAACTTTTTCACCTGACTTTATTCAGTATTGTGCTTTCATTTGGACCATTTCTCTTTCTTGGAGTATCAAGTTCACTCAAGAGCAGCAACAGGAACCCAGTCGCTGCAACTGAGCTTTTTGAACTGCGCAAAGTGGCTACAAAAATTGCCTCACACTCGTAGCCTTGGGGCCAGTTCTGGCCATAGGGACTGACAAGCATAATAATTCCTAATAATTTTTTAAAATGTATTTTGACTTTTTCCACTATTAAATGTATTAGTTGATAAGAATAAGAAAATTCTATATGAAAATATATGCAAAAATATATTTGCAATATATCAGTTTACACTGCAGTAAAAAATGGCAAAAACTCTTTTTTTTTTTTTTTTTGGTATTTTTTGGTGGAATATTTTTAGATTAGATGACGTTCCATTAATGCCCATTATATTTGACACATGACGCTCTCCCCAGTCAAACTCAGTGACCACTTCATTTCAGTGTCCAGTAAAACTGTAGGAACCAGGACAGCTTTCGTGCAGTTCTTATTAAGCTAATGGACGCCCACTGCACGCTCCTCTGTGTCTCCAGTCGCCTTTTCTCCCCCCCGTAGTCTCTCTCTTCTCCCTCCCATTAAGACAATCAATACACGCCAGCACAGTATTCTTCTTTTACAATGTCACAAGAAAAAAAAAATCCATTACGGGGGGCACAGAGGGTAGAAACTGCAGGAGTGGGAGAGGCGGTTAGGATATATGTAACAGGACGGAGTATTAGAGTATTAGATCAAGGATAAATGAAGAGGGTTAAAGAAGTCCGTGTTTAATGCCTGGTTAAAGAAGGACGACGTTATGGCTGCGAAGACCGAATGAATCTTAAGTAAGTGGTCAGATGGCTCGACCAATCGTTACACACGCTGTAAATATGTGGTTTGAAAGACAGCCGCCCCACACGGTGACACTGGTGCTCTCTTGTAGTTATTTAGTCTCTTCTGTCTTGGACCCGTGTGTGCTGTGCAGTCATCTTCCATGTTTGCCAGCCGGTCCCATCCCCCAACTATAATCACGGACACAGCCGCGCGCCCCTTCCCTTCCCTTCCCTTCCCTCCCTTCCCCTCCCCTCTCCTTTGGCCAGACCCTCTCATTTTGATGTGATGGAGGTTGGAAAAGGTTCAGGCCTTGACCACAAATCAGATATCAGGTGTGACGAGGAACAAAGGCCCCACGGAACCAGGAATAATATCTGAATAATTATTGAAATGGCAGTTATTTGTGCACAGACCAGAGAGAGAGGGAGAGAGAGAGAGAGAGGACATCAGTGACAGGAGAGAGCAAAAAATGTCCCTCTACTACATCTATCTATCTATCTATCCATCCATCTATCCATCCATCCATCCATCCATCCATCCATCCATCCATCCATCCATCCATCCATCCATCCATCCATCCATCCATCCATCCATCATCCATCCACAGTGGTCCCTCTCCTATTGCGGTAGTTGAGTTCTAAGACCCACCGCGAAATGGGAAAAATTGCGAAGTAGAGGCGAGATAGTTTTTATATAATTTCCGTATATATTTACCCTTTACGACCCTCCCCCACGCTGTTATCAACCCTCCCTAGACTGTGTTACCTTTTCCCACACAATTATATCCACAGTAGAGTTGTAGAATGGGAGTTGCTGAGAGACGCTACGGCGCATGAGCCAATCAGCGTGAGGAACAGAAGAGCATGTTCAATCAGCCAATAGCACACCGAGTACGCATTGTATTAGCCAATAGTATGCTGTGTACGATCTCGTCTAGGTAAACAAGGCTAGCGGCGATCGTTCGCAAATGCGCTTGTCTCAATTTCAAAACGAGAATCCACATTTTGAAAGACAAAACTTTCGTGTGTGTAATTATTTTATAATGTCTTTTAGTTGCTCTATTTCGCGATAGAGCGATAATTAAGCGAGATCGGAATAAAAAAAATCGGAACAAATGATACTATTTGATGTAGTTTGTGGATTTAACATTTATGTTGTTACACAGGCCATAGTGAAAGAAACAACAGCCAATAGCCAGTCGGCCTGTTTACCAACAAAAAAAAAACCAAGAAACTTACCTGAGACTGAAAGTAAGTTTCCTGCGGCGTGGACAGCATGTCGGCCGAGGCGATGTCCAGATGCAGGAGGATCTGTCGAAACGACGGCCTGTTTCTGGGCTTGCAGTTCCTGTGCATTTTATAAACTTGGTCAAATCTGAGAACTCTCAAACGTCACCTTTATCCTT